CTTTATCTTTATTTTTTGGTTATAATTATAGTTTATACAATATAATTTACAGAAATTTTTGTTCGAATATAATATTTGATCTAGTAAAAACTAATTAAAAATATTTCAAACAAAGTTCTGAAATGATTTTTTAGATTAATAATTTTATTAATCATTTTACAAATGATATATACATATAGTGCAAATCACAACGTAAAATAAATTAAATATATTCAAGTATTCAGAGTACTCATTATAACTCAAACTCCGGTTTCAGAACCGGATATGAGTAGAGAAGAAGATAGGGATATAAGATTATATAACGACCTTTCACAATAACCATTGTCGTTCATCAATCTTGTTTTGTTTAATGGACGCTTATTGTTGCTGCAGGAAGTTTTTGTGGATGCATATTTAAATGGAATAAAATATTTATTTCAGAAATTACTATATTAAATAGAAAAAACAATGAATGACAAAAGTATTATACTATAATTTTTAATTTATTAATTATATACTTTAAAAATCAAAAGATAATTAATAGAAAATATATTTATTTATTTAATAATTTAGAAATTATATTCATAAAAATTTTTTAAAAATTATAAAATTAATTTATTATTTTATATGGAAAATTTTAAATAATATAAGATATAATTTTTATTTTTATATTATAATGCTACGTATTTTCTTATCGTAGTTTCTAAAATTACATACTTCAATAATCCATAGAGAATTTAGAAGAAGCCAAATAATATAAGCATATCTTATAATTTTCAATATTTTTGGAAATTTTCAACTTCAAAATATATCTTGACAAAAAAAAAATAATATAATTATAAATCAGATTTGATTTTATAGATGAGGATTACAATACATAATACAATACATAATATGTATAATTCTCATAAATATGGAAAAAATTAGTATCTTTAGAATATAATTTCCTTAATATAAGAATATATTTCCTTAATATAATTTCTCAAGAAGAAAAAATTTTTGCAAATCATTTTTGCAAATTTGAAATATAAAATATTTATAGTATTTTTTATAAATATTCATTAATATTAATTATCAAATATTAATAGTAATCAATTTAATATTAATATTAATTCATTAATATCAAAATTATTATATATAATATTATATTTTAACATAATTATATAATTAGTTTAATTATATTAATTATATTATAATATATAATTCATAATTATCTGCAACTTTTTTTAATTTTTAATTTTTCATAGCCATATTTTCAAAAAATATAATAAATATAATAAATACAACAATAAATACAAATATGAAAAGTATAATAAAAGAATTGTACTTAGTTTTTGATTGAAGTTTTGGTATTTCATAATCAAACAATGATTCGAGTGACAGAGCCAAGAACATTAATAAGAATACAAACAAATGTATATAGACTAACCAATGTAATATATCTAGTTCGATAAAAGAAGATAAATATTTTCGAACTAAAAATACATCTTCTTCCATCATATGAGCAAATTGATTAGCGAATATAAATATGAATATAAATATATAAAAATGAATATGAATATATTCATTTAAGTGATTAATGTAATTATAAAAAATGTTTGTTAAAACCGAAAAAAAATTGAAATCACTGCAGAAAATCTCTCCTGCAGAAATTTTTAAAATTTAGTCTAAAAACTAGAATAGATTTAAAAAAATGATGAATGAATAATAGCTAAATATATGTATAATAAATAATATGAAATATTATGTATAATAAGACACTTCTTTTAATACTAAAAAATAATTCTAAAAAACTCTAAATATTTTATAACTTGATATAACGTAATTTTTATTATTACTATTATAAAATTAGTTATTTATATTCATTCTTATATGTTTTAAAAAATAAAAATAAAATTTTTTTTTTAATCGCATGTTTTCTTATCTCTAATTATGTATTACATATTAACAATATATAAGATGATTTTATTTAACGCTATTTTATTTAATGCTTTGTTCTAAAAATTTTAAAAACATATCTTGAATGTTAATAAATTAATTAAATATTATTATACTATCTTTTATTTTATTTTAGTTAAATATTAGTTAGTGTAAATCTTAGACTATCAATTTAAATTTTCTATATAAAAATTAAAATTTCTATTTAAAAATTAATCAAAATTATCAGTTATCAAAATTTGTATTTTTGAAAAAAATTATTATTCTTTATTTTTAATATCATAAATTTTAATATCATAAATTTTAATATCATAAATATTAATATAAATCTTAAAATTATCAATTTAAATTTTCTGTACTTTCTCATAAATTTTGATAACTATTTAACTTCTGCAAAAATTATCGAAAATTTTTTTTTCTTTAAAAGAAATTATTATTCACCTGAATCCCACCACAGTTCTCGCTATTATTACCCTTTCGATGAACAGGAAACAGACCACCAAGCATCAAATCACCAGTCACATTCACGTACAGAACACGAGTATTTTCGATATTTGGTTCAATAGACAGGATAAACTCGAACAAACTCGTAATCAACATCACCTGAACCACAATTCTAATCGACATCATCAATCGCGAAAATTTCTCCTTCTCTTCACACTGAATTTTGTCAACGAAGAAAATATTCGATCAATTCAGTTAAGATGTTCACAGTCAGTGCTCAATTTGAAAGGACGAAACGCCCTTTTAGTCTAGTTTTGTCTCCTTTGAGAGAGGGTGTGGCCGATTATGATGTTCTCTGAAGAGCACTCGAGAAACCGAGTTACCGGAAAAGCGGAAATCGATCGTGAAAACAGCGATATGCGAAAAAAGGTAAACGAATCCCACGTAAACAAGTGGAGAGCAATTTTGTTAAATGCATCTCTCTCTGAAGGGTGAAACAATATCATTTTTTAATTAAATGAATATATTTTATATATAATGATATTTATATAATGATAACATTATACTTTTATGAATGATTACTTTTTCGATTTTGATTCTTAATATTGTATGATAATATTTTCTATTGTATGAAATCAGATTATTATATTATAAATCAAATATTTAAATATTAGGAATAAAAAAAAATATGTATTATTAATAACTGAATGTTGCATATATTATATATATAGAATATATTATATATTATATATATAGAATGCTTTAGGTCATGCCTTTAAATGTCAAATTTTGTCAATATATTCTATGGATATATATAATATAAATAAGTAAAAAAAAGAGATTATTATACGTTTAATGTTTAATACTTTATTAAAAATTTATAAACAAAAATACAAAATTCAAAGAAAATGGCAATATTTACCTGTAATGATTAAATTAATATTAACTTTTATTTATTATTATTAACACTAATTTTAATATTAAATATATAATTGTAATTAATAATAATATACATACATAATTATATAGTATTTATTATATGCACAGTAATTTAATTATTATTTCAAAATTGCCACTTTATATATTGACTTAGTTAGTTATATTATATATTGACACTTAGTTATATTGACAACAATTCAAAATGGAATCATTAATTCTATCGGTTCATCATATTTATTTTTGTTTCATAAAATTTTTTCTTTAAAATTCCTAACGGATAAAAATAAAATGAATTCATAAAATAATAAAATCGAATGATTTCAGAAACCATAATATTAATCTTTTTCAATCAATTTATTCATCTTTGAGGAAAAAAATTTAACCATTTTGTATTCTGTATTTTTGTTTATAACTTTTTTATAACTTTTTTTATAATTTATATATATATATATTTATATATATTTATATAATATTTTTTATTTATTTAGATCCAGAGAATATATTTATTAAAATTTAACAACTTAAATCTGAGACACTTTATACTACATTAAAATGTAATTTAATTTAATTTTATTTAACTTTGATGTTATTGTAGGGACATTTGTCCGCAAAGAGTTTGGAAATTAATTATTAAAAATAATATTAATTCTAGATTTCAATGTGATAATATTTCGCATTGATGAACAGTGATTTCAATTGGCCAATTTAATTGAAGAAAAATTAATTTTAAAAAATTTTTAATATTTGAAATAATTAAATGTACGAAAAACAATATATTCATATTATTTTCTTATTATTTATATACTTAAAAAATATTATACTTTGTTAATTTTAAGGAATCATTCTAGATTTTTAAAATTTTCTTAATTTCTGTATTTCAAAAAAGATACATATATTTATTTCCATTTTGTTCTTTCACTCCATTCTTTTTCGTTATATACAAAAATTTTAATTATTTTTGATAATTATTTAGAATAACATTTATAGACAAATGTCGGTCAGAATAATAATTAACAACAATTCCAGGATCATTGAAATCACAAATTAAATAATTATCTTATTCTTTCATTTATTTATCACATTTATATCATTAATTTAATATTATTTCACGAGCCTTATATTTATATTTAAGATAATTAGAAATAAGATATGAAATAAAAGAAGCTGCCAATCAATATTAATTCAGAGATTTTATTCAATAGATATTAATATAATCATATTTACGATTCTCTACGAATTTTTTTTATTATAATAATTAATACAGGAAATCATTGAAAGTTTGCTAAATTTATTCATTTATAAAACAGATGATTATGCAAGACTTGCACACTTTTTGCTAATACTTATGAAAATTGAGTTTTATTAAAAAAATGTGACACAATTTTTCATTTCGTTTCAGCATTTAATCGAAAATAAATTTTTACCATGTGGCCATCGCATCTCATTGTCCATCAGCTTCCTCTTCGCCTTCGATGGTCGAGACGATTCGCCACGACTCACGACGCAAGGACGTCGTGGTTGCAGTTCAACGGCAGCTCAAGCTCGAACTGGTAGCGCGAGGACGAGGACGAGGAAGAGGAAGACCAGAGGAAGTTAACAGAAGTAACGGAGGAAGCGGAGTGGGAACGATAACGATGGAATCTCCAATTATTCAATCGTCTCTCCGAGCTGGCCCGTTTAAACCGTTCTCTGCTCCTCATCTGTTACTTGTCGACTTAGAAACGAACTGTTTTTCGAACGAGACGGCCGCGATTCCATTCTCCTCTGCATCTTGTCTCGTCTCGATCGCAAAAACAATCGATTAGAATCTGAGATCGAGATCCTGGAGACCATGGACGGAAGCAATGATGCGGACGGTTCGATGCACAAGTCGTTCGGGATAATCGATTGTGCTGTATTTGCTGGTATGCTCGCGATTTCGGCTGTGGTCGGTGTGTACCAAGCGTACAAATCCCGAAAAAACGAAGACGCGGTACGAGAATATTTAGTTGGCGGACAAAACATGTCGATATTTCCTATAACGATGTCCTTGATAGCCAGGTACGGTAGAAATCCATTTTATCCGAACTCAATTTGCTAAAACCAAATTTTCATCTATAATCTATTTCATCTATTAAATCTAGCTGAATTTTTATTATAATGCTGAATATTATGTAGTATGATTGAAATAATTGTGGGAAAAATGAACCAGAGATAATTATTTGTGCTTGAAGATTTTTGTTTGATGGTATAATAATATATTTGAAGTAATAATTGTGATGATAAATTTTGATAGTAAATAAATTTATAATTATAGGAATAAATGTAATACTCTTCTTAAAAATGAATGTTTAAAAAATTATCATGTTGATTCAATTGATTTACTTATATATATTATGAGTTACTTGAATTATGGTACGAAGAAAATATTTTGTATTTATATAATTTTATATTTTATCTTACAATTTAAGCTCTTCTATTTCAATTATTGTATATCATGCAATCATAACAGTCTATTTAATATTTTCTTTACATATTATAATCTTCTTTTTTATTTCTTTTAATTTTGTATTTTTTTTGTATTATAATTTTTTTGTTATATTCTATAAAACAAATTTTATTCAATGAGTACTCTAAAATACAATGCAAAATTATTAAAAAACTTTTTAATAATAAAACAATAATATATCAATTAAATGTTATATTAAATTTTAGAAGAAAAATCAAATAATATTTAAAAGATATATATAAATATATAGATATATGATTATTTATAAAATTATAGATAAATTCTGGGTTTCATATATTTTAGAAAAACTTAATAAAATAATAACTTAATCATAGATTTATAAAAAAAAATATATAATATTTAATATATTTCACAATGATAATATATAAGATATTTATATATCAAATTCATATTAGAAAGATGAAATATTCATAAAAGTATAATATTTATATCAATATTATAAAATGAAATAAATTGTTATCTATGTAATGGCACTCTATTTCAAAATGAACTAAGTCAATATAATAAGTTAGTATAATAATATCAAATAAATACTTTAGAAATTATATAACTGATGCATTTACAAAATTTATTTTTCTTAAACTAATATTATTATTTATCATTTTTAGCAATTTTGAGGAAAATTTTTGTCAAAGCTTAAATAAGCGAATTCTAGTCAAGCATCTATTTATTTGAATTAGTGCTAAATTGCATCACTTCACTTATATGAATGCTACTAAAATGAAAATAAAGACAGAACGCAATAGATTAGATACCGCACATAAATAATGCGGTATTATTACGATCTAATGTGTTTTAATTGTATAAGTTTATATTTTCATTAAAATCAGTTTTCATTTTTTGTGTTTTCAATTTAAAATCATAATTTCTAATTTAACATTTGATATGATTATTACGAAATATATCTATAAAAGTATAATAAATTGCAATAGTGTGTCGTTGTATAATTTGTGTCAATCTAACCTAATATATTAAATAATCCGAAAATGGATAAGATACAGTAATTTTAAAAAAATTAATCATTTTTATTCAGTAAGTTTATATTTTTATTTAATCAATTTTCAGTTTTCAAGTTTTTAATTCAAAATCATAATCTCTGGTTTGTTTATAATTATTACGAAATTTTTAAAAAGAATTGCATAATTTCGTACATCATTGTATCCATCTAAGTTAACATGTTAAATAATCCGAAAATGAATCAGATAAAGTAATTTTAAAAAAGATAAATTATTTTTTTTTTAATGAATTATATATATTATATACATATATATAATTATATATATTATATCTATGATTGAGAGAACTAGTGAAAAATAAATTACGTGAATCAATTTTAATTTTTTTATATATTATTTTATTTGGTTATATTTCCTATTATAACATTTAGAGCTTATCTTTAAACTTATAAAAATATATACACATATTTTATTCCTTAATTAATAGAAAAATTATAAATATTTTTGCTTATAATATAGTATATTAATAATAAAATATAATAAAAATTATAATATTTAAAAATAAATATGTAAAACAATTGCAATAACAATTCATTTGATTAATAATTAATCTATAAAATGTTATTTATTTAAACTACATTATATAAATTAGATGAATCTATATGATAAGATATTCTATAATTGTATTTTTTTAATGTTTCTTAAAATTAATGCAATGCAAAATTAATGTATCATCAAATTTTGTATCTAAAGATTATTCCTTGCTAATAATATTAAGCATAATTCATATTTTTTTTTACAAATTTGAATTATTATTGTAGAAAATGATGGAATAAAATGATAAAATACTATAAAAAATAGATCAATGAGTACTTTTTTGTTTAAAAACTAAAAGATTTCTTATATATTTATGTATGTTAAATCTGCATTTAACAGTAAAAATTATCTATTATGTTAGATTTAAGAGATAATAAATACTTTGTTATATTTATGAAAATATTTCAAAAAAAGATTTTTTCAATATTTTTGTTAACAGCATGGCATAATATATCTTTCTTCCTTAATTATTTTTTTGCCAAGATAAATTGCTTTGAAGTTATTTTATTATTTGATAATAAAAATTATGAATAAAAGCTTATTGAAAAATATTTTACCATGATACCAATGAAAAACCATGTTTTTTTTATTAGAGTTTTATTTAAAATAAACTCAAATTTTTATAAATTCTCATTCTGTTGTCAGTAGTAAGTTAAAAATAAAATAAATTTAAAATAATATCTCAGCAAAACAGGATATGATAATAAACTTATGATAATAAACTTTACAAAACATTACTATTATATTATGATATTGAAAATATTAAAAAAAAATATTGAAAAAAAATTATTTTAGAATATTTTCATAAATATAACAAAAAATTAATTATTTGTTTATTTATTTTCTAAATCTGATTAATAATAATAGGAAATTTTAATAGTGAATATTTATTATCTATCTTATCTATCTTAAATCTAACATAATAGATAATTTTTACTGTTAAATTCAGATTTAACACACAGATTCAGATTCATTGCACAAAAATAAAAGATTTTTTTAATCTAGAAAAAAAATTCTGTTTAATTTTTTAAAAATATTTAATTTATAAATAATTATATAATTTATAAATAATTTATAAATATTTAATCTATTTTTCTTTATTTTTTCTAGAGATATTTTATACATATAATTACATATGTATAAACGATGTTAATATATATAATTCATAACACATTTTTAAAAAGTCAATTCTTAAAAATCAGAGAGAAAAGAAAGATGAATACAAAATTAATAATTAAAAGATATATATATTATTTTAGAAGGAAAAATTAAAATTTTATATTTATTTTATGTTAAGAAAAATAATAAATATTTTTTTTTAATGAAATCCAGTGAAATATATATACATTATATATATATATATATATTATATAACACGATATTGAACTTCGGTTATTTGAATAAAAAATCATAAATACAGAAAAATCATGAAGAACTCTATTTACATAAATAAAATTTAAAATTATGTCTGATTGTTTGAATTCTTGCTTCTCTACTGTTTCTACTATTATTGAACATTAATCTATTTATATAATTATCTTTATAATATTAAATCATCCTATAATCAATGTTATTTTAAAAACCTAGTTGCAATTATAAAAAAATCATTTATTATAAGTAAATAAAATTATTTATAATAGAAAATTAAAATATATAATAATATTATATAGATAATATGATAACTTTTATATGAACGGTTACTAATTAAATGATGAAAAAATTTTTTTTTGCTATAATAATATTATAAGAAATTAATTAATACTAATCACATTATATCTTTCTCCATCATATTCTTTTATTATAATTAATAAAAATGTATTAAAATAGTATAATTCTTTTAATATTAAATTATTCAAGTGAAAATAAAATCTCTAAAATCTGTAAAAATACAAATCAATATATATAATATGTAGATTTTATTATTTTTTTTATTAAAAAATGATTTTAAAGTGACATTATTTATGAGATTACATAATGTAAAATACAGAATATTATTTGTGATACTAGAAAAAGGATAATTCTTTATAAGTAAATAAATCGAAAAAGAAACGAAATTCTTTGATATGAAGAATCGTTTTGATAAAAAGATTCGTTTTTGAGAAAATCGAATTTAAAAATATATCATGTATATAATGCTTATTAATTATAAACTCTTCTAATCTAAACCTAATAATTATAAACTCATTCATATTTTTACAATTTTTATAAGAATAAGATAAAAAAATGAAAATTTTATGTATTTCTATAATATAAAGAAAAATAAAAAAGTAGAAGGAAAAATTTTTCTTTTCGTAAATCTAAGAAAAAAAAATATCTTAAAATTGAATTTTTAATTAAAGATGAAAAAATATAAACTCAATATATAATTTTAATATTTTTAGCATTAATTACTTATGATAGACGGCCAAACATACTAATAATTAAGTTATTTAAACTTTTTCCTATCATTTCTGTTAAAATGGATTATAATTTTTTAATTTTTGGTATTAATTTTTGGCTTCTTTTGATTATAAACTTTTCTTACCAAAATTTAATGCATTAGCATAAATTTAATATTGATATGATAAAAAAAATTGATTTCTAAATATGATTTGATTTAAATAATAATTTTAGTTTTAGTTTTGTTGAAGCACAATATCTTATTAAAAAATAATCCTTTTATCTTTTGTTAATGTAAATAATAAATATATACAAGTATTTAATATATACATTAAATGTAACTTTCGAGTTGTTAGATTTCTGTTTCTGTTTATAAATCATAAATATGAACAATATTATTATCTATTTTCTATCAATATTATTCTTATATTAATAATGTTCTGTATAAAATGATTTTTTAAATAAAAGTAATTTTTTATATTACACTTTACATTTATTGAGATAGAAACAAAATTTTGATTATAATACTGTATACATAATTATGCTTTTTCAATTAAACTATTATGTATATTGTTTTTAGTGTATCATATTTATAGTTTTATTTTTTAGTTTAATTTTTTAAAAATACATTTGATTTAATAAAAAAAAAAAAAAATAAGAAATATTATATCCTATTTGAATCTATATATATATATATATATATATATAGTTATTACATAATGATAAATTTTCATTTAATCTTCTCAAAAAATTATAAAATTTATTAGAAAATTTTATTATTCTTTCTTTTCATGTAGAATCATTTCCTATTTCTATTGTATTATAAATAACAAAATACTTTGTATATTTTTGATATATTAAATTTAACAAATTAATTCATAAAATATTCGACAATTATTCGTAAGATTGTTTTGAAATTTAAAATCTTTGATACATTATTATACATTTTAAAAAAGATATTTTAAAATTTTTTTAATAAAACATAAATTTTTATGAATTTAAAAATTATAAATGATGTATTGATGAATTATTCCTCCTATTATATAGAATATTAATCTTAGAATATCAGTTAAACCTTATTTAATAAATTATAAATAATTAAGTTGATAAAGACATAAAATGATAGCTCTATCTTCGTCAGACTATTATCTCATTTTGCCTTTGTCTCGCTGTATCTAATGCAAATTTAAATTATTCATAATTTTTGATTTCTTATTTATTTGAAGTTTCTAGAATCGATTTTTTATAATTATTCTATAAATATATTAATATTCTATATGAACATTCTATGAATTATGAAATTTCTTGGTCCCCTCAGAGATTCAATATAAACGTTCTCTAATAAGTGAAATCAGTGGACTCCTATTATATGAACGACCTGATTATATGAGCTTTTTGTTCACCGAAGGGTTGATATAAATGGAGTTCTATTGTAATCGGAAAAAATGTATCAAGAGCAGAGTTCAGCAAGATATAGGATTTTAGAAATAAATTTTTTTTTAAATAATATTTCGATAAGAATAATATTTTAAATATGTATTTTAATATCGATATTATTTTGAAATTATAAATATTTGATTAAAATATAAGAAAATAATATTTCATTTAATAGTATTTCGAATAAGCATTTTTTAATATTTTATAATATATATTATAATATATATTTTATAATATATAATATTTTATAATATTATATAATAATTATATATAATATTTTATAATACTTTAATATTTTATAGCACGATAATATATCAAAGTTATATATTCTACATAATAAAAACAAAAAAAAAGAAAACTCAATTTATATATGTATAAATGGACTTATACATAAACATAAAGTTTTTAATTTTCATTCGTGATTTAAGCATTTTAGACGAATTTTAGTATTTTCAAATAATATTCGTTACATGCGCAAAAGCTTCTTTATTAATCTTTTTTCATTTTTATTTATCTTTTCTCCAATTTTTATTTTAATAAAATTATGTTCACTATTCAATTTAATATAATATTTCAGATAAAATCAGTATCAAAGATATGAATATACAAAAAAAAAAAAAAAAA